GGGCCTTGCGCTTGCTAGGCAAGCACTCTACCACTGAGCTAAATCCCCAACCCCACACTGAGTTCTTCATCAAGCTGTGTCTGAAGCCAAGGTTGTTGTAAGTGATGGCTTTTGTTTTGTTTGTGAGACAAAGCAGAGTCTCCTTACAGAACCTAGGACCACCGGCTCATGCTGGTCTCAAATTCACAAACCTCCAGCCTCAGCCTCCCAAACGCTGGATTACAGGTGTGCAGCACCACACCACCTTGTGAATTGGCCTACTCTAGCATTTTCTATTACAGGAGCCGAAGTTTTCCCTTTGTTGTCTGGGCTGTTTGGAATTTGCGTTTTAAGATTTTATTTCGTGGGCTATTGCCTCACAGTGTATCCCTGACTGGCTTGGACGTCCTGAAGACCAGGCTAGCCTCAAACGCACAAAAAACGGGCCCGCTCTGTCCTGCTAGTACAGGAATTAAAGAGGTGAGCCACCAAGCCCATGCAGCACCCCCTTTCCAAAAATCACTAACTAGCATTGTGTCTGTGCATAATGTGTGTCTGAGTGCTGTAGAGGTCAGAGGTCAACTCCAGGAGTTGGTTCTCCCCTTCCACCATGTTTGTGCCAGGGTTGGAACTCAGGCCCTTTGACCAGCTTGAACTTAAAACATCCTCCTGCCTCAGCCTCCATGTGAGTAGACAGCCATGTGATCTGCCACACCTGATGGCTAGTGAGAAGAGTGCCTCAGGGAAGGCAGCCACACCGACGTCCGGCTGCCTTCTGAACTGGGGTGGGGGAGTGAGCAGGGGGTCACTCACACAGTACAAGGCTTGTCTGTGCACATCTAGGCTTCGTCCCCAGCAATGAGAAAACTGACCCAGCACACACGTCTGTCACTTGAGGCAGGAGGACCAGAACTTCAAGGTCATCCTTGTCCACATAACGTAGAACCAAGTTCCGACCCCATCTAAAAATAAATAGGCCAACAAGACCACTGAGTATGTTAAGGCCTTTTCTGTGAAGCCAGATTAGCTGAGTTAGATCCCCTGAGGCCCACATGACAGAAGGAGAGAACTAACTCCAGCAAGTTGTCCTCTGTCCTACACACCACACACACACACACACACACACACACACACACACACACGCACACGCACGCACACGCACACGCACGCGCACGCGCACGCGCACGCACACACACACACACACAAATAAATGCAATAAAAAACAAACAAAAAAAAAAAAAAAAAAAAAACGAGCCAGGTACACTGTCACATGCCTTTAATCCCAGCACTCGGGAGGCAGAGGCAGGCAGATCTCTGTGAGTTCAAGGCCAGTCTGAAGGAAATCCCCCACCCACAGTGGGGGCTTCCTCCTGGATCCCGAATTAGATCACACCCAAACACCTGTTTTTATAGAGAGATTCTTTATTAAGCAGGGAAGAAAAGTTAAAGTGGCCGCTTTCTGACTCAGGCAGAAAAGCACAGCAAATGACCTTGCAGATGTAATTTTTGAGAGGAGGGAAAGGGGAGGACTGTGACAGAATGGGCTAGGATGCAGTGGTAGAGGAGCCGGTGATGAGGGAGAAGGGGAGGGGGGAAGGGAGGGGGGAGGGGTATTTGTTCCAGAAGGACCAAGGACTGCCTCTGGATAGAAGGGAGACGGATGTGGTGCATAGGCAAATGACAGTTTATAAAGGTAAAGGGGGAAACCCCACGATAGGATGAGGTGTTTAATTTTAATTGGGGATGTTAATTAGGTGAGCCAAAGGGGGCCTTTGATAGCTGGAGCTTGGTAGCGGGAATAGACCTAGGTGGCTAGCTTTAGGAATGCAATCTAATGGTTCTTAACAAGGCAGAGGAAATGGGGAGAAGGGCAAGGCTGCCAGAGCCATGCTCTCTAGGCTCAAGCTGACCAGAGTCTTTCACAGCCTGGTCTGCGGATCAAGTTCCAGGACAGCCAGGGCTACACAGAGAAACCCTGTCTCAAAAAAACAAAAAATAAAAACCATCCTCCCGCCAATCAAAACAAATCAGGAGCTAAGAAAGTCGGCTCATTGGTTAGGAGAGAGTACTTACTGCTCTTGCTGGGGCCCCAGGCCCAGCTCCAAGCACTTTGCTCAGCCTGCAAACCACCGCTGTAACTTCAGGTTCAAAGGGTCTGGCCCCCTCCTCTGGACTCCGAGGACACTGTAGTCAGGTGCACAAACCCACACGAATACAGACACATACTAAAAAATAAAAGGAATCTTATTTGCTTGTTTATTTATTGGTTTTTCGAGACTTGGTTTCTCTGTGTAATATCCCGGGCTGAACTGGAACTTGCTCTGCAGACCAGGCTGACCTTGAACTCACAGAGATCTGCTTCCACAGAGCTGGGATTAAAAGTGTGCACAACCATTCCAGGCTATGAAGCTTTTTAAAAACCAGTTTTAAAAAAAGGTCCAACGTGGTGGCGTGTGCCTTAAATCTCCATACTAGGGAAGCAGAGCCCGTAGACTTGTGTGAGTTCAGGCTAGCCTGGTCTACATAGGGAGTTCCAGGACAGCCAGGGCTACACAGGGACTCTGTCTCTCTCTCTGTGTCTCTGTGTCACACACACACAGTCACAGACACACAGACACAGACACACACAGACAGACACAGACACACACAGACACACAGACAGACACACACAGACACACACACACACACACAGACACACACACACACACACACACACAGACACACACACACACACACACACACACGGAAAAACAAGAAAGGAAAGGAAGAAAAGGAGGAAAAGGAAAGAGCAAACGTAAAGGCGCCTGCTCCTGTTAGAACTACAATTCCCGACATTCATTGCGAACCCCTCCCCGCTCTTTGCCCGATGACCGGTTTCTCAGGCTGCTCGTCAACAGCGTCCCGTCTCTAATTGGCCAAGATCCGCGTCGCCTCCCACCTCCAGCCTTGTGCGTGGGTGCGCTCGGGGAGCAGACATGGTGAGCAGGCCCTGTGGGGTCCCTGCCGCGGGACGTGTGGGGTCCGGCGGTGCGGAGGGAGGCCCGGGGCCGCGAGGGTGGAGGCCCCTGGCCGAGCTGAGGGAGACCCCGAAAGCTGGGAGGGCGGGAGGGCGACTGGCAGTGGGGTGCAGTGGGTGGTGCGGGACGCGGTGGGAGGTGAAGCCGGGGCTCTCCGGAGCGAGCCGGGACCAGCAGGCTTTGCCTCCTGACAGCGTCTCTGCAGCCCGGGTTGTGCTCGATCTTCTTCATAGCCTCGGTGACCTCAAACTTGTGATTCTCCTGCCTCCGCCTCCGGAGTGCTGGGGTGACAGGCGTGTGCCACCATGCACGGTGTTCCGTTTTTCTTTTTAAAAGATACTTTGTCTTCATTATTTTGTTATGTTTATTCATTAAGTATGGATGTTCGTGTGTCCGTCTGTGCACCACGTGAATACCTGCTGTCCTTAGAGGCCAGGGAAGGCTGTGGGATTCTCTGGACTGCAGTTAGCGACAGTTAGGAGCTGCCGTGTGGGGCTGGGAATTGAACCCGTGTCCTCTGAAAGAGCAGCCAGTGCTCTTAACCACAGTCATCTCTCCATCCTCCCCCTCCTTTTCTTTTTTTAAACCCGTTAAAAAAATTCTATTTTAGATGGGCGGTGGTGGCGCACGCCTTTAATCCCAGCACTCGGGAGGCAGAGGCAGGAGGATCTCTGTGAGTTCAAGGCCAGCCTGGGCTACAGAGAAACCCTGAAAAAAAAAATCATTTAGAAAGGGTCTTACCATGTCGCCTTGGCCTGGATCTCACTCTGTAGCCCAGGTTGGCCTCAGATTCAGGGAGATCTGCCTGCCTCTGCCTCCCACCCCAGAGCTGGGATTAAAGGCGTGGCCACCCCCGCCACCGGGGTAGGAAACATTCTTTAAATAGTTGGATGTGGTTGCTCTGGCCTTCAATTTCCAACACTGGGAAGGCAGAGGCAGGCGGATTTCCGCAGGTTCGTGGCTGCACGGGGACAAGCAGGGCTCACAGAACAAAAACGTCAGGGGTCTGACGATGGGGGCAGAGGTCAGGCCTAGAAGGGTGGTGGGGATGTCTGGGGCTCCCAAGATGAGCGCTGCCGCCACCGCAGTCGCCTCCCGAGAGAGGCCACCAAGCCCGGGGCTGGCGCTCCCCGTCCGCCCGTCTTCTGGGTAAATAGCTCGGGTCACTTCAGGGAGCTTTGACTGACTGGAGCTGCTCCCTCAGGCCGTCCTCGGCGTGCAGCTGGTGGTGACCCTGCTCACCGCTACCCTCATGCACAGGCTGGCCCCCCACTGCTCCTTCGCGCGCTGGCTGCTGTGCAACGGCAGGTAAGCCCGCCCCCCCCCCGGCCGTGGGCGGAGCCTGTGGCCACGCCCACCCACCTGCGGGAGCCTCCGGGGTACGCTTCCTCCTCCTCCTTCCCTCCGTCTCTCTCTCTCCAAGACTGTTACTTTTAGTTATGTGTAGGTGTGTTTCCACGTGCGGTGCTCACATGAGTGCCGAGGCCTGGGGAGGCCAGAGGCGTCAGAATGGGAGTCACAGGCGGCCGTGAGCTACCTGTGCGCCTAGTGTCCTCTAGTGTCTGCAAAGTGCATCTTGGATCCCTACTCCCCGCTCCTGGCCTTTTGTCGTCCAGCCCTCTCTGTTTGCACTGTTTTGTCCTCCTGCAGAGGACACTGTGGGAATGTTTTCTCCCTAGAAAAATGTCAGCTCACAGATTCAAGGGTATCCTGGATTCCCAAGCCCCCCTGTGACTGGATCAGTTCCCCCATCTCATTTTCCCAGAATTCCCCTGGCTATGGCTACTCCCAGGCCCCCTGGGCCACCTTCCCACAGGGCCGTACCCTGCCTCAGCTCTGCCACTGCCTCGTGCTCTGTCCTCAAGGCCAGATCTGGGTTCTCTGCCTCGTGCCCTCAGGCCACGCTTCCCTGACTTTCTTCTCCCTCAGTCTGTTCCGATACATCCACCCGTCGGAGGAGGAGCTTCGGGTGCTAGCCGGGAAACCGAGGCCCAGAAGCAGGAAGGAACGGTGAGTGGACTCCACAGGGCCCAGGCAGGGCTAGGCCCTCCTGCCCGGGGCCAGGCCTCGGTCCTGCCCGAGGTTCCAGCTGAGGGACGGAGCCTGCCCTCGCTCCGGTGGGGTGCTTGGCACAGGTGGGTGCAGTTAGCATCCTGTGGCCTGGCTGTTTGCTCTGGCCGGCCCTGGGCCCAGGCTGCCCCCACACCTGATGTGGCTGAAGCGCTTTCCCAATCCGGATTCTCTGGCGTCCCAGAGGGGATCACTATACCTCACCCTTCACTGTCCTCATGTGCTCAGCTGGACCAATGGCCTTCATGATGAGAAGCCACTGTCGGTGCCTAGAGACGCCCCTTTCCGGCTGGAGACCTGTCCCCTCACTGCTGTGGATGCCCTAGGTAACCCCCAGCTCACCCCACTCCCCTCCCCTGCTGCGGGGTCGCCCTGCCCAGGCGGAAGGGTGGGGTGGGGGTCGGGCGGCTCTGGCAGCTGAGCCCCTGTACCCCCAGTCCTGCGCTTCTTTTTGGAGTACCAGTGGTTCGTGGATTTCGCTGTGTACTCCGTGGGCGTGTACCTCTTCACGGAGGCCTACTATTTCGTGCTGGGCCCAGTTCAGGAGGCCAACATCGCTGTGTTCTGGTGCCTGCTCACACTGGCCTTCTCTCTGTATCCTTCCTCTGGGGTTCAGGGTGTGGGGAGTGGGACTCGGCCGAGTTTCCCTGGCCCTCTAACTTGGCTGTGGGATCATCCACTGTGCTGTAGAGGTATGCAGGCCAGCATGATCTCAAACTCCCGGCTCACCCTCCTGAGTGCTGAGTGACAGGTGTGTGTCACCACACTGAACACACAGTCTGGTTTGTTTATTTATTTATTTTTGGATTGGCCCCACTGGATGGGTTCCTGTCCCTCCAGGGCTATACATTTGGGAAAACCAGGGAACAGCTTGCTAGGAGCTGGCCCATCTTTCTTTGTTTCTGTTTTTGGAGACGGGGTTTCCCTGTGTAGCCCTGGCTGTTCTGGAACTCGCTCTATAGACCAGGCTGGCCTCAGACTCAGATCCGCCTGCCTCTGCCTCGGAGAGCTGTCCCTCGCTTCCTTAACCTCACCCCCAGCAAGGTGTTCCTCGCGGTGACCCGGCTGTACTTCGGTGCCAAGGAGGGTGGCGAGCGCTCAGTGTGTCTGGCCTCTGCCTTCCTCTTCCTCCTCCTGGCCATGCTGGTGCAGGTGGTGCGGGAGGAGACCCTGGAGCTGGGGCTGGAGTCAGGTGGGTGTGCTTCCCTGTTCACCTGCCTGTTCGCTTTCTGTTTCTGTTTCTTTGTTTTCTTTTGAGACTCGGTCTCATTCTATGGCCCTGGCTGGCCTCAGACTCACAGAGATCCTCCAGCCTCTGCCACCCGCATCCTGGAATTAAGACTAATGTTATTATGGGGGCTGGAGAGATGGCTCAGTGGTTAAGGGCACTGGCTGTTCTTCCAGAGGTCCTGAGTTCAGTTCTCAGCACCCACATGGTGGCTCACAGCTGTCTGTAACTCCAGCTGCTGGGGACCCAACACTCTCATGCAGGCAAAACACCAATGCACATAAATTTAAAAAAGGTTTACGTTATTACTGTTTTTAAAGGTTTATTCTCATTCCATGTGTAGATGCTTTGCCGTCATGTGTGTCTGTGTGTTAAGACTGAAGTCCCTGGAAAGGCCAGAAGGGGGCACTGGACCCCAGAACTGGAGTTACTTAGGCTGTGAGCCACTGTGTGAGTCCTGTGCGAGCAGCAGGCGCCCTTAACTGCTGAACTGCCCACCTGGCCGGGTTTGGCTGTTGTTTTTGTTTGTTTGTTTGTTAAGATTTATTTATGTATGTATGTATGTATGTATGTATGTATGTATGTATGTATGTATGTATGTATATGAGTGCTCTGTCTTCATACACACCAGAAGAAGGAATCAGATCCCATTACAGATGGTTGGGAGCCACCATGTGGGTGCTGGGAATTGAACTCAGGACTCTGGAAAAGCAGCCAGTGCCTCCTCCCCAGCCCCAGGTTCTATTTCTTGAAGAGTCCCGCACAGTCTGGGCCTGCAGGTCTCTGTGCGCCTCAGTGACAGGGCACCTGCACACCACATCTGGCGGCTCTGGGTTGCATTCCAGCACGGGAAAATAAAAGACGATTAAAATAGATTGTCTGGGGCTGGAGAGACGGCTCAGTGATTAAGAGCACTGGCTGCTCTTGCAGAGGACCCAGGTTCAATTTCCAGCATCCACACTGAATGCTCACAACTACCCGGGGGATCTGATGCCCTCTTCTGACCTCCACAGGCATCAGACACAATGTGGCAGTTATACGTGCAGGCAAAACATTCATATACAAAAAAACAGATAAAATAGAATAGATCGTCAGAGCTGGGGCTTGGGCCAGTGTGAGACAGCGCTTGCAGCAAGCCAGAGGACCGGAGTTTGCGCCCGTGTCGAAGGTGGACATTGGCTGCCAGTGCCTGTAAACTTCACACTGGGCAGGCAGAGACGGGTGCATTCTGGGAGCTGGAAAGCTGGCCAGCTTTGGAAACCGTAACAGTCTACACACTTGATCTTCTTCCCCTAGGTCTGGCCAGTGTGACCCAGAACCTGGAGCCTGTTCTGAAGAAGCAGGGTTGGGACTGGGCGTGAGTCCTGGGGACTGGATCTTGTGGGGAGGTACAGGTAGAGGGAGCATCTGGATCCCTACCCCGCAAGGCTGAATCCACCAGCCGTGGATTCCCTGAGACCTTTTCTTCTCCCCAGACTCCCTGTGATCAAGCTGGCCCTCCGCCTTGGGCTTGCGGTGCTAGGCTCCTTGTTGGGCGCCTTCCTCATTTTCCCGGGCCTGAGGCTGGCCCAGACCCACCAGGACGCGCTGACCCTGTCTGCAGATCGGCCGCTGCTGCAGTTAGGCGGGGCTCCCGGGTGGGGTGGGGGTTGAGGTAGAGGCTGGGGGTCAGGAGCCTGGCCCCACCTGGTGCTCCCCCCCCCCCAGGCTGCTCCTGCATACCAGCTTCCTGTCGCCCCTCTGCACCCTGTGGCTCTGGACAAAGCCTGTGGCCCGTGACTTCCTATACCAGACACCCAGGAGGAACATGACCTCTTCTCTGTGCGTGTGTTGGGGAGTTGAGGGACCTGGGGTGTCTTGAGACCGGGATGAACTGGAGGGATTGTGGCCTGGGGAGGGAGGGCTCACCCAGACTCCCTGCCTGCTTGGCTCTTGTTGCAGGCCATCAGAAGGGACCTTCGACTCCCTGCGCCTCTGGGTGCTGGTGGCGCTGTGCCTGCTGCGGCTGGCCGTGACCCGGCCACACCTGCAGGCCTACCTGTGCCTCGCCAAGTCTCGCGTGGAGCAGCTGCGCAAAGAGGCTGGCCGCATCGAGGCCCGCGAGATTCAGCAGCGGGTATGCACCCCAGGTGGGACAGTCCCTGGGCTAAGGGGGCCTGGCCTGGCCGTGGGGTCCCTGCCGTGGGAAGACCACCCCCTCTGCAGCCTCTGCCGCCTCCCCGCCAGGTGGTCCGGGTTTACTGCTACGTGGCCGTGGTGAGTCTGCAGTACCTGACGCCCGTCATCCTCACTTTGCACTGCACGCTGCTGCTCAAGACCCTGGGTGAGGAGCTGGCGGGGAAGAGGGCGGGGCCCGCGGAGAGAGGATGGGGACAGGTCTGGTCAAGTGGGGCCTTCAGATAAAAGCTAGGAGTAGGGTCTGAGCAAGGACATGGCTTGGTAAAGGTGGGGCCATCTATAGAAAGTGAGGGCAGCGTTTGGGCAAGGCTACAGACTGTTGTCCTGTGGGGACAAGACCCATAGACGGGGAGGTTGGAGGTGGGATCAGCAGAGTGGGAGGATGGAGGCCCCTAAGGTCAGTGGGGTATAACCTAGTGGGCGGCGTATGAAAGCCTCTAGACTCCCACGGTTCTGTCTCCACCCATAATCCCCTTCTTCCCTCTTGCAGGCGGCTACTCTTGGGCCCCGGGCCCTGCTCCAACCTCACCGGCCCCGCCCCAGGCCTCAGACACCTTCATCTCTGTGGACCCTGCAGAGGATGAAGTCCAGCAGACTGCAGCCCAGGTCGCAGGGGTTCTGGGCAGCCTGCTCACGCCCCTCTTCCTCCGTGGTGTGCTGGCCTACCTCATCTGGTGGACCGCGGCCTGCCAGCTGCTCTCCAGCCTCTTTGGCCTCTATTTCCACCAGCACCTGGCAGCTTCCTAGCGTGATCCACCAGGACGGGGACTGTCTCCTATGTGTGTGCCTTAGTGCCCCCAGATGACCCAGGGGTAAGCGTGGGGACTCCCCACCACCTCCGTCACCTTGGTGCCTGGATCATGAAGCCCTTGAGTCAGGTTCCCCTGGACCTGGAGGCCATGGTCCCGTGTGTGTGTGTGTGTGTGTGTGTGTGTGTGTGTGTGTGTGTGTGTGTGTGTGTGTGTGTGTGTGTGCGCGCGTGCGCGCGCGAGCGTTCAGGATTTCAGTGGGAGGCTCCTCTCAATAAAAGGGGTGGGCTACTTCTACAGAAATACCCCAGAGGCTGAGGAGGGCAGGGGAGACATGGCTGGTGAGGACTTAGGAGAGAGTGATACTAGACAGGCGTGGGAAGATGAGGAGGAGGTTTGAGACGGCCAGGGGAAAGCGAGGGGTGGGGCTGGCCCAGCTTTGGTTTTGTTTTGTTTTGTTTTTTTTTTCCGAGACAGGGTTTCTCTGTGTAGCCTTGCCTGTCCTGGAACTCACTCTGTAGACCAGGCTGGCCTCGAACTCACAGAGATCCACCTGCCTCTGCCTCCCGAGTGCTGGGATTAAAGGGGTGTGCCACCACCGCCTGACTATGCCCAGCATCTCAATATCCCTGGGTCTGTCACTATCACTAGGAAGGAAAGAGACAAGGGTCACCATGCCCATCTCCCCAGCACACTGGGGAGGCTGAGGCAGGAGCATTAGCCTACACTAGTAACAAGACCATATCTCCAAAACAAGAAGAAAAAAATAAAGGGAAGGGAAGGAATGTGAGCTGTAAGGAAGGAGAGGGAGAGAAATTGAAGCTGTGAGCTGACAGCCGTCATGTATTTCAAGGCCTTGGTGACAGGGTCACCACCACCTCCAGAGCTGTCCTATTGCTGTGACTTAGTGTGTGTACACGTGTGTTTATGAGACATGCATGGCTTGCATGACTCTTCCACATATGCAGAATGTACATTGAGAATAAAACTGGAGGGCTCCCGCAGTGATGCCCGCGACACTGCTGGTGGTCTGGAGCGTGCTTTGTTAGGACAGTGCTGTCATAGCCGAGGTCTCACGGGAGAAGGCGCCTGTCTCTGTTCGGGATGCGACTGTGTGTGCCCACAGGACCAGAGGACAGCTTAGCACTCAGGCCTTGCCTTCTGCCTTGAGATTTTTTGTTCACCCCGAATTCCTCAGGTTAGCTGTTCAACAAGCTTCAGGGAGTCTCTGGTTTCCACCCCCACCTTGCCACAGGAATGCTGCTCTGTCCTCCTTGTGTGGGTCCTGAGGACTGGAGCTCAGACCCTCATGACTACAGCAAGCAGGGCTAGTGTGTGTGTGGTATGGACACACAAGATTTCCAAGGCGTGTCTGGAGTTTCCTTGCCTCTTGGGACAGACTCCCACACGGACCCTGACAAGGGGCTGTGGGAGCTTGTGAGGTTCTGTGGGAATCAGGAGGCGCAGAAAGAGACAGTTCTGGAAAACCAAGGCTCTGCTCTGGGGCTTCAGAGTGACTTCAGGGTGGAGGGCAGCCTCAGGTGGTCCCGCCCAGACCGGGGCACAGGTTCCTGTGGCCGATGCCTCTGCTGCCAAGCATGGTGGAGCATGGCTAACGACTCAGAGGCAGAGGCGGGCGGCCAGCTCTATGCAGGAATTCCAAGTCAGCTGGACTGTATATCCCAGATGTGTAAATAAACACAAGGAGCATTTTGTTACTGGCAGATTCAGGTATGCGGTTACTATATTCTTGACTCTCTCTTTTGTGTTGGCAAAGGAACCCAGGACCTTTTGTTTGTAATAGTAAGTGTTCTGCCCCAGAGCCACGCCCCAGCCCACCACTGTGGGGTTCTAGACAGGGGCTCCACCCAGAGCCACACCCCAGCCCACCACTGTGGGGTTCTAGACAGGGGCTCCACCCAGAGCCACGCCCCAGTCAGTCCTCCATCTTTGGCCGTCACTTTCTTTCCCGGCAGCCTGTGTCACACATGCATCTATGAGCAGAAAGATGTACAGAGTGCTTGGGCATCACACTTAGAAACCTCAACTCTCTTAACAAGGGTAACAAGGGGGCTGGAGAGACGGCTTAGCAGTTAAGAGCACTGGCTGCTCTTGCAGAGGGCCCAGGTTCAGTTCTGAGCACCCACATGGCAGCTCATGATCATCTGCAATTCCAGTCTCCACATACAGAGTATTTAAGAGCGCCAAAGAGCCCAGCCCTGTCTCAGAGCTGACGTTCACACATGGGGGAGGGGCCAGAGTTGAAGAAGTGAGAAGCAGAAATTATTTAAATTTTTATTAAATATACTCTCTTGGCACAAATCTTTAAAATATATAAACATTATATATAAACAAAATGTTTTCATGGCATCAAAATAGAACTCCAGACTGGACAGTGACCATGGGAGAGGGCAGCCACAGAGGCCAAGAGCCCAGGCCAGAGCTACTGGGAGGCATGTGGGCAAGCAGGTCAGGGACCTGTGACCCCCTCACCTCTCCCACCCAGCCGGCTGCCCGATGCAGGGCTCTGCCCAGCCATCTACATGGTGCCACCTGTCCTATCCAGCCTCCCGGTGTGGGGTGCCCTGCCTCTCCACCTCGGTGTGGGGGCCAGGCAAGGAACAGAGTGGACAGTACACTCACAAGAGGATGAGGGTGGTCCCTCACAGCCACCGCAGGGTGCCTGGGGACATGGTGGGGATGGCCCGTCACCATCTGCGAAGGAGGCAGGGAGATGGCCGAGCATCACAGGCACAAGGTAAGAAATACAGGAAGAGAAGGACTGCAGTCCAGACTGAAAATGCCTGGGGGTCAAGCCGCCCTGCGCAGGCCCCACGTGTGAGATGGCTGCCATCCAGCCGTGGGAGCCAACACCCAGCTCACCTCTGCGCCAGAACTGGGTTGCACAGGGCAGGGGCTTGTGTGTGCAGACCTGTGCCAGGATAAGTGGAAAACTAGAATCTAGAGGCAAGGATTGCTGCAAGGTGGAGGCTAGCCCTGGCGACCCACTGAGGGGCATGCTAGCCGGGCTTCTGGGGGGCTGTCTCAAAGACCCCAAATCACGAGCCCCAGGCCCCAGGAAAGGCATGAAGTCCCTGTGACACATCGGGGACCCCAGGAGAGTTCTCCTTGCGATCAGCTGGATGGTGGTCCCCAGGTGCCCAAGTCACCTCTGCACTTTCTCACAGGCCACGCTGCCCATCGTGGCCTTCATTTGGCCTCGCTAAATGACAGCCTGGGTGGGGACCAGGGACCTCAGAAGGCCCAGAGTTCAGGGTTGGGCAGTTTCAGGAGTTTGCGCCCCATCTCCATGGGTGCTGTGCAAACAAAAGCCTTTGGGCCTGCATGGTGGCCCGGGTAACGTGCTTTGGAAGACATCCCAGGTGAGGGAGACCCACATGGGCATTTCCAGTGGGGCCTGTACCCGCACCTCCTGCCTGGTGGCCGTGGGGCCTCCTGGAAAAGTCACAAGCCAGGGAATTGGCAACAATCAAGTGCAGCCCTCAGGAATGGGATGGGCACAGTGCTCTGGGGAGAAAGCTGTGTGGGCAAGAGCAGCCATCTGTCACCTGGGAGAGGATGAGCAGCATGGTGGAGGGCTGAGGGACACAGGAACAGCCAGCCACCACTGAGCAAGCTGCGACCCCCAGTGCGTGGCTTTGAGAGAAGGGCCGTCACATCTGCAGGCCAGGCACGGTCGTAGCAAGAAGGGATGGGCTCTGAGCCCAGTGTGCTAGTGGGCACTAGAATCAGCAGGAGGCCAGGCAGTGCAGCTGACCCCTTAGGGGCCTTTGGGTAACACCCCTGGGAGACTCACCGGCCACTAGCAAGGAGCTGAAGGGAGGGGCACAACCAAGATCCATCACCACTTTGCTATGGGCTCTCGGCCCCAAGCCAGGTCCCACCCTCCTGCCCATCCTCAAGGTACCATCAGGGCTGCCAGCCTACAGCTGCATGCCCTCAGCCCACCAGCTCACCGTCCACTGCTGTGTGGGCCTAGCTCTGCAGCCGGCGCAGCAGGATCTGCATGAGGTCGAAAGTGGTGAAGCTGATCCCCACAGCAATCGGGCCCTTCAGCCAGTTCATGCTCAGGCCCTTGTAGAGGCCCCGCACGGCGCCCTCCTCACGCACGATGGAGCGCAGAGTGCTCAGGATGGAGCCGTGCTGGTGGCCCGTCACGCCCGCCGTCTGCATGCGCCGCCGCACCACGTCCAGAGGGTAGGAGGCTGACTGCCCGATAAGGCCGGCACAGGCCCCGAAGACCATGCGCTCAAAGGGGTAGGGCTGCGGGCGGCCGCTGTACTCTGCAGGGCAGAGGGCACGTGAGCGCCACACTTGCAGAGCCGAGACCCCACTTGCAGGCCACCCCCTCTTAGTTCTGGTGTGGGGAATGGGACCCAGGGCTTCATGGAGGCCAGGTCAGTGTTCTGCCACCGAGCCACACCCCAGCCTAACATAAGACACATTGTACAACCGTGAGACTGACAAGGTTACCTAGGCCACATGTACAATAGTCTCCTCATCTACGGGGACAGTTTTCAGTGCCCCCTCATCTGTGGGGGTGCGTCCTACGATTCCCCCACGGAAGCCTTGAATTCTTAAGAGTACAGGGTACACAGATGGCGTCCTCCTACCTCTGCCTGACTTCAATAAACGAACGAGGAATGCAGTGATGTGCAGGGACATCTCAGTGTCCTGCTGGGGGCTGCAGGCATGGCTCCACAGAGCAAAGGCCCAGCCTAGCCCACACCATAGGACAGGAAGATACAGGCCTGCTGCTGTGGGTTCTAGGGTCACAGCGGCCAGGGGTCACCAGGCACCTGCAGCAGGTACAGCCCAGGCTCAAGTCACCTCGGATGGACAGGCTCTACTGTTGGTGTTCCGTGACAGTCTCACTGGCTAGCCCAGACTGGCCTCCACCTCCTGTCATCCTCCTGCCTCAGCCTCCTGAGGGGGACGGCAGGCGTGAGCCACCACACACAGCTAGACCGAAAGGGTTTTAACTGCCTGTATCTGTAGTGTGCGCAGACTTCCTTCTTTTCCGAGTCGCCAGCTGAACGCAGTGCGACAGCTGGGCAGCCAGCGTCTCTGCATCTAGCGGCCTGCCTTGCGGCCTGCCTTGCGGCCGTGCCAAGCCGGGGGCAGGTGCAGGTTCTGCACACACAGAGCCGCTGCACGGAAGGGGCCGTGAGGGCCCAGGACAGGCCACAGACAGGCCACTGTCCTGCCAACCAACTGAGATTTTCATACAGGGTCTTGTTATGTAGCACAGGCTGGCCTTGATCCCGCAGCAATCCTGTCTCATTCCCCTGACTGCTCAGATCCCAGGTGCACCACAGTCCCAGCGAGAGGCCTCAGCTCCCCAGAGACTTACTACTTAACAGAACACCGGGGGCGGGGCTGCCGCCCGTTTGCAGGGTGTCTCCCTCAAGTTCAAGAGGCTCTGGGTTTTAGTTTTATCCCTAGCACCTCCTAAGATGAGTGTGGGGGGACAGCCTGTGACCCCAGTGCTGGAGAGGTGGAGGAAGGAGAAAGGCAGAATTTAAGGTCTTTGGTGGCTGCAAGGCAAACGTGAGGCCAGTCTGGGTTACATCGGGAGACCTTTTCTAAAGAACTGCATAAAAATGAATGGACGCATTAAAGGTTACAATCCAAGCTCCTGGGTTCCACCTGACACAGGACGTCTTTGAATTGGGCTCTGGGTCCCTGCCTGTCCTGTGTGGCTCTGGATGAGAAGAGTCCACAGGGACACCTCCCCGAAATCCCACCTCTCCACCTCTCCTTACCTCGGTGCAGGCTCTTCAGTGACTCGTACGTAAAGAAGCTGAGTCCTGCGTAGGGAATGACACCCAGCACAGTGGGTATGAACCCGAAGTACAGGGTCTTCAGCCCTTCCTCTCTTGAGATGCGGATGAAGACGTGGAAGATGTTGCCGTACCTGCCGAGACCACGTGACCGGGCTTGGTGCCTGCACCCCACTCACTCCTCCCGTCCAGGAGGATGAGGGAACTCCATGGAGACGGCACTGCCTGCTCTGCCAGACACGAGGCTGGACCAATGCTCTGTACATGTGCCAGGCAAGTGTCCCAGTACCTGAGCTGCTAAGTGGACCAGGCTGGCTTTGAACTCAGAGACCCTCATATCTCTGCCTTGATGCTCAGTCCTCCAGCTCTAGTTTTTCTGTTTGTTTTGAAGCAGGGCCTCACTACATAGGACTGGCTGACCTCGAACTCATAGCGATCTGTCTGCTTCTGCTGGAATTAAATGTGGTACCACCCCTCCCCCCACACCTGGCTCTCTCTCTTAGTGTGCATGGGTGTTTTGCCTACATGTAGGTCTACACACACATTGGAAGAGGACAGAAGAGGGCATCTGATCTCCTGGAACTAGAGTTAGAGACAGTTGTGAGCCACCACATGGGTGCTGGGCATCGTCCAACCCAGGTCTCTGCAAGAGCAGCCAGTGCTCCTCACTGCCCAGCCAGCTCCCCAGTCCCGTTATTAAGGTACTCGTTCACTGCCTTGTTTGTTGAGAGGGGTCTGGATCTGTGTCCCAGGCTCAACTGGGAACCCTGACGCCACTTCTGCCTCCCCAGTGTCTGGGTCACAGGTGTGTCCCACTGTGCCCAGTTTCTTATTTGGTTTTGCTTGTTGTTGTTTTTAGACATTTAGTTATTTACTGTGGAGCAAGGGGTGTCGGTGGCACTGAGCACAGATGCAGACCAGA